TTTGACAAATTTTTACAATTTTTTATTAAATTATTTTTTACTCATTATGAAGCTATTCAGAATAAAAATAAGATCGATTGGATACAGAAACATTTTTGTCACGTCTTCCCATATATGTTGGACCACTGTGCATTTAATTTTTAATACGCATATTTTATATATAATTTTTAATATTTATTTAATATTTAATTTGTATGTTATTTTTTGTGAAACACTTTCAATAATAATTCGTGAACTCTGATAACACTTCTCAATACAACTCTCCTTCAATAACGGTTGCATTTCCTATGCAACAATACCTTTGGCTCATTCGCAAGCACACACAATACCCCAACCAAAAAAAGAGAATGCATGCACTCGCATTGAATGTGCTGCCAACAGCGACGACGACGTCTCACCATATTACAAACAGCACTGCCGCGAACAAGCGAAGTAAAGAAAACTCTGCCCACACACAACACAACGCCACAAACACTTTCAGCGAAGCCAACTGAGATGTTGTTTGGCAGTGCCGTTCTCATTTTCATGTGTGCAATGCACCAGCTTATGCTCTTCACTTTATCTCTCTTCTCTCCCTCTCTGCCAACGCATGACAATGAATTCGCATTTCAGTCGTCGCCGCATCGCGTTTTGTTTTTGTTGCCAGTCAGCAGTTATTGAGTTTGGTAAATTTACCGTTTCATTTGCATTGGTGTTAGTGCGCACGCGAGCTTATTTGATGGTGATATGATTTTTTTGTTGTTGTTTGTTTCGTACGAAGTGAGTCCGGGCCTCTCTGGTGTGTTGTTGTTGGCCATTAGGGTTTTTTTGAGTTTGGTGTTCTGTTTGCAATGCACATAGCGGGCTGTTGTGTGTCTCTCTTTCTGAGTGTGTGTGCCTGTGAGTTTGTGTATCTTTGGATCTGTAATGCGAGCTGTCTGAATGCAATTGAATATTGCAGAAGGAATAAAAAAATAAACAGAGATAGATATTAAATGCGCCGCGTCAGATAGTGAACAGTGGTTATGGGTAGACCAAATGAGGGAATAAATTTAATGATTAACCCATTAAAGAAGCAAAGGGTGATAAGTATGACATTATTTTCCATAATTAGGGAAAATTTGAAAATAGAAAAAAAAAAAAGATTTTAACTTAGAATTTTAAATTTAAATATTTTCCAGATATAGGCTACGGCTACGTCGAATGACCAAGGATGGGGATAAACCATTATGTATTCATAAGAAAGTTGCCAGATGTCAGAGATTCTTGCCTTACTAAAGCGCCAGAGTTAATAAAACCAATACAAACCTGAAAATCTCTAGAGAGGCTTTTAAAATGCCCACCATAATACCCAATTTTTCCGCAGAAAGTATAGGGTAGTAATTTTAATTATGAAAGACAAATTAAAATACAGGAACTCATGTAGTTTCTTAGCTATAGAAGGCTTTAAAAAATCCTTGAAGACTTTTAAAGGTTTTTATTCGTAGAGGACCTACAATATTCTAGCTCCAGAAGATCTTCAATGTGTTTTGGTTTTATAAAAGAGTCTCCATAAGGTCTTCTATTTATAAAACAGGTCCAGAAAACTTCTGGTAGAAAACGAGCTGCAGAAGATTTCTCGAAAGTCTTCCATCTTACGAAGACCTCCGGAAGTTCTTCCATCTGTTGGAAACATGCAGTAGATATCTTTTGTTTAAAAGTTCCTCCAAGTTTTTCTATCCAAAAAATGCCTTTCGATATTCATCAAAGGTCTGCAGAAAGATTTATATAAAGCAACCGAAGGTTTATCCGAAGGTTATCTTTGAAAGTTTCTCAAAAGGTTTTCTATCTTTAGAAAGTCTCTCATCTTTGAATACCTTCAAACAATCGTTCATTTGTAAAGCTCCCCCCAACCTTTAGAAGACGTCTTATTACTGAGGTAATTAGCATGCCTGCATACAATCTTGAAGAAAAAGGACTTGCTCAGGGACATGAAGAATATTTTTCTATAGGAAAAAGGCTTATCAAAGAACTGAGAAACTTGAACTGAAAAATTGTTAAGCTCATCCGGCGACTGTGTAATTTTCAATATAGAAAAAAGTTCTCCTAAGGAACCCGAGAATATTTTTCAATAGAAAAAGTCTTTCGCCGAGCCTGGTTAAATTCTTTCTATAGAAAACGGCTCTTCCGCAACCTAGAGGTTCTTTTTATAAAGCAAAACTCTTCTCAGGTGTCTGAGGATTTCTAATTAAAATGCTTCTCATGAGCCTTAGGATTTAGAAAAAAGTCTCTTCAAATCCTCTTCTCTCATTCTCTTGGTTGACCCTTACATCATTAGTAATGATGGTGGTCTCTGAGATTATATTGTCAGCTAACCAATAACATAGAGATAGTGCTTCTAGCTGACCTTTTTATTATCTTGGAGGCAATGGTTTGGGCTAAGTCTTATTTATTTGTTTTGCTCTTCATTTCAGAAAACTGTCTGTCGCTTTTCTAAGACATAAGGTTCTAACTGTACCTGATTGTACCAGACTAGCCCTTATCTCAGACATGGTCATATCTGAGAATAGTTATATAGCTGCTCCTTAGTTTAGAGATTATAGATTTTACTGACCTTTATTTCGAAGGCAATGAACCTGTTTGGCGCTTGGCCTGAATTTTATATCTATATTTTATTTTTTTATGGATGATAATTGAGCTGTCTGCCACTTATCTTAAAGATAATTGTCCTGATTTGTTCTTATTAGAGAGTCGTTGATTTTTCATCTCTCTCTTTCTCAAAGAGAACTTTCCTGATATGCACTTATCTTATCCCAAACTAAAATTTTAAAGCTTATCTAATAGATAATATCCTTGTCAGGCCCGCAAATAACATATAATGGTCCCCACTGGCCGTCTTTTCCAAGAGATATTGGTCTTAAAGGAGCTTCAGAGATAGGGTGCTTTTATATCCATGTGAAAGATATATAATGCCTTGAGTGGCCCTTATTACAGAAGTAAAATTGGCATGTCAACCCTTAATTGAATATATTTTACCTAATTCAGGTTTATCTTAGTCCGGTGAAAGTTCGTTTACACTACGAGTTCTACAATGCACAGCTTTACTTTTCCCCTTTACCAACCGGTGTTGACAAGTCGTGATTCAATACTGAGCTATCAGGCTTGATTTTATGGGACAGTATTTTTAAAAGTGAAGGAGTAAGAGGGAGATAATACAACAATAAAATCACCAAGCTAAGTCCAAATTTAGAGTAGGCGAGTTTACTTTCGGCCATTTTTATACCCTCAGCCATATGGCTACAGAGGGTATATATCATTTGATACGGCCAAAACGTGCCTAGTCGAAATAACGGTTTTAGACCCTAGGTCTCTTTGGACCAAATCCGTTTCAGAACATTTGAAGTCGATCTAGCGATGTCCGTCCGTCCGTCCGTCTGTCTGTCTGTCTGGCTGGCTGGTGCGCACGATAACTCTCGAAGGGAGTATCCGATTTGGTCCAAATTGGCCATCGTAATATTTTTGTCAAACTTAGATCGAGTTCGGAGATGGGCAATATCGGTCCACTCCTTCTGGTACCTCCCCCACAAAAGGTCGTAATTTTCAAACAATATATTTTTTGCACAGAAAGAGAAAGGATAATCCGAATTAGCTCCAACTTTGCAAATCCTAATATTTGCGTCAGTGCTAGGTCAGGTTGTGAAAATGGACAATATCGGTCCACTCTATCAAGTACCTCCCCCACAAATCGTCAAAATTTTGAAAAATTACAACTCTCATAAAATGTGATGTAAGAGTCCGATTGTCTTCAAATTTCACACATCCCAATATTTATATTAACCCAAGGTCTGGTGTTAAGATGAACAATATCGGTCCACTCCTTCTGGTACCTCCCCCACAAAAGGTCGAAATGTTAAAAAAATATATTTTTTGCACAGAAAGAGAAAGGCTAATCCGATTCTGCTCCAACTTTGCATATCCTAAAATTTGCGTCAGTACTAGATCAGGTGTGGAAATGGACAACATCGGTCCACTCCATCAAATACCTCCCCCACAAATGGTCAAAATTTTGAATAAATACAATCTCATTAAATGTGATGTAAAAGGCCGATTGTATTCAAATTTCACACATCCTAATATTTGTATTAACCCATGGTCTGGTGTGAAGGGGGAATACATCGGTCCACTCCTTCTGGTACCTCCCCCATAAAATATTGAAATGTTGAGTACCCACGAAGCTCATAAAACGCCAAAGTAACATCCGATTCCATTTAGACTTGGCACATCTGTCGAAATATTTATATCATATTTTGGGTCCGATAGGAGATGGGCAATATTGGCCCATTCCTTCGGGATCTGCTCCATAGAGGGTCAAACGTTTGAGTAATCTTAACACTAGTCAAAATATATTTAGATAATCGAACATAGGCTGAGGGTATATATCTGGCGGCAATACCGACCGATACTTTTTAACTTGTTATCGTTCTATTTAGACCATACTTCTAAATTTACACAAGGCAATTTATTTTCAAAAATGTTGTTATTTTCACCTTTGCCTAAAATATTTCTATAAGCGAATTACCAAAAACGGTTCTCCCTCTTTTTAATTTTTTTACTTTGTTCCTTTCCAATCTGAAAAAATCATAAAAAATCCATTTCTCCAACTCTTCTCAGACCCACTGTTAACTTACAAGTGTTTAAGTAGTTATTTTGCAACGCCATCTACATTCCAATTCACTGATCTCTTTTACATTCCCTCTTTTCTCTTGGTGGCAATTGAAACACACTCACACACATTGTTGTTGTGGTTTGTGCTCTGCCCATTGAGCCACAGCAACGTCAACGTCGTCAACTCAGCCAAACACACATCAATGCTTGCACGATTTTCAAATTGGATAAACACGAATGGTGACGACGACGACGCTCATGTTGATGGTTCTCATTGTGCTGCTGCTGCTGTCGTCGTCATCGTCGTCGGCAGAGTAAAAGAAAATTTTCTCTTTTTCGCATTGAAACAACTTGAATTATTTTCAGTACGTATTGTACTTTGAAGTGAAACGGAAGGTTACTAGCGGATACAATTGAAGAATTGAAGCAAATCCAAAACTAATTTCTTTCACACAATAACAACAAAAAACCAAGCCACAACAACAAGAACAAAAGTAAAGCTAAATAAATTCTATAGTTCTGTGTTTTTTCGAAGCAGCAACAACAAGCAAAACAAAATAGTAGTGAATGTGTTATGTTGTATGTATGTGTGTGTAACAGCAGCAACAGAAACAAGAAGTAAAGTAAAGAAGAAGAAGAAATAAGAAAAAATTAAAACAAAACAAAAAATCAACCACCAAAAACAACAACCACGGTAAAATTTTACAGAGTCGTCGAGTCGAAGTAAAACAAAAAAAAAATAACAACAAAAAACGGCAAAAGAAAAATTTGTAATTACAAATAAACAAGAAGCGCTCAGTGAGAAAAACGTTGTAGTGAATTTGATGAATGTCGTGTGTACAACAATAGCAGGCTAGAGGCAAAAAACAAACAAACAACAATAACAGCAAGCATACCTTGTAATGGGAAAATTTCTCTAACAAAACAAATCTAATCGGAAAATAGAAAATTTCTATCAAAAACGCCGTAAAAAGGAAAAACGAAAAGGAACCACTTTTTGACAATTCTCTGTGGAAATTAAGAAGAAGAAGCAGTGTAAAAACAGAATTTCCGTTTTCCTGCCAAGCAAGCAACCAACCAACCAACATCAACGAGAAGAAAATCCAACAAGAAAATCTCTCCCCCCGTTTCGCCAAAAAAGAAGAAAAATAAAGGTAAATTCTCGCCAAGCAAAAAAGAAGAAAAAAAAAAAACGAAAAAGAAGTGTAGAGAAAAAAGTGAATGTAAAAAAGTTGTGGCAAAAAAAATAGTAACAGAAGAGAGCTGCAAAAAAGAAACAAGTTAACAGCAACAACAACAACAACAACAAGAGAAAAAGTGTAAAAAATTGTTAATTAGTTTTGTCAATTGCAATTGTTTTCTTCTTGGTTGTTCAACACGACGGCATCTACTTTTCTGTGGGGCATGGATTTTGTTTTTGGTGTTGTTCCTTTCATCTGGCCAAGCAGGCAGGCAGGCCAGTCATTGTTCGTTCATGATTTTTCAAGTGAAAGTGTAAAAAATTCGTAACTCTGTTTGGCCTCAAAGGAGAGGAGAGCAAGAGCAAACATGAAACAGAAATGAGTTTTGTGCAAATATTGGGAATTTGAATGTGAAATTCGATGGAAAATGTAACATGGTCAGGGGGGAAATTATTTTCTGCATGTAATTCTTTAAAAGAAGTTATTAACGCTTTCTTATCGATCCACAAAGGAAGTTAAAGAAAAAAATTCCAAAAAAAACAGTATTTGGAAAATATGTGTGGGTTTTTCCCCATCCCAACTAACTGGCTTTCCACAACTCATTTTGTTGTTTTTTTTTTTGGTTTACTGTCTCCCGTTGTGTGCTAGGCATTGCCAACATCGAAGAGAAGGCCAAATATGGCGTTTTCATTTTACGCTAGAAAACTTGTTTGCATGTCGCGGTGCTGTGCTGTGGTGGAGGTTTTGTTTGTTGTTTTTGTTTCTACTCTCAGGATAGCTTGAAAAATGGAAAATTGTTTTTACAGCTTGAGACAGAGAGACTTAATTATAATTAGGATTACTTAATAAATTTGTAAATATTAAAAATTTGATTCTAAACTTTCCTTATTTGTTTATAATTTTCCCTAAAAAAGGAAAAAAAGAAAAAGCTTGGAAAAATCCACCACCAAGTTGTTGTTTTTCTTTTCTTTTTTTGTTTGCCTTGTAAAAATGCAACGCCAACCTTTCCAAACACACACACGCACACGCGTACTCATACAAACAGGTATACCACACTCAGAACCCAGTAAACAATTTTTTCCGACTGCTCTGATTTTAGATTTTTTTCCGAAATTTCTGACGTTTTTTTCAGAAATTTCTGATAGAAATTGGTCCGATTTTCTAAACGTTTTTTTTTAGAATTTCTGCACATTTTCCTGTGTTTTTAAGCGAAAAAAACTCGAAAAATGTACAAACGGAGAGAGTAGATTGTCTATTGCTCTGGCATATTCTCTCCCACATGTAAACGGATGGTGGTGGTTTGACACATTCTCTCCCATAGTAGTTGTTGTTGTGATCATTCATTTCAAGATCTCAACAACAACAAAGCGCAAAGCAAAAATTCTATTTGTTATTGTTATTGTGAACTGTTAGATTTTCCGTTGTAAAAATGTGCGTTTTGTTGTTGTTGTGAATCAGCCTCTTTCTCTTTCGTTCCCAAAAAAATATGATGGAAAAAAATTGCAAAAACAACTACATACCGGTTTTCTGTGTGCACTGCTTTTTATACCCTCCACCAAAAAAGGTATGGAGGGTATATTAACTTTGTCATTCCGTTTGTAACTCATCGAAATAATCATTTTAGACCCAACAAAGTATATATATTCTTGATCAGCGTAAAATTCTAAGACGATTTAGACCTGTCCGTCCGTCTGTCCGTCTGTCCGTCTGTTGTAATCACGCTACAGTCTAAACGAATTAAGATAGGAAGCTAAAATTTTGCACAGATCTCTCTTTTGTCTGCAGGCAGGTCAAGTTCGAAGCCCCCATATAACGGTACCCCCCGATATTCGGTATTTTGATGATTTTACCCACATTTTTCAACGGAATTGTCTGAAAAAACACACAAGGAGTTCCTTGTGGGTACTTTATACCTCGGCAGAGAATTGTCTATATAGGTCCACGATATCGTATAGCCCCCATGTAAGGGTACCCCCCGATATTCGGTATTTTGATGATTTTACCCACATTTTTCAACGGAATTGTCTGAAAATCCACACAAATAGTTCCTTGTGAGTACTTCACCCCCTGAGAGAGAATTGTCTATACAGGTCCACGATATCGTATATCCCCCATATAACGGTACCTCCCGATATTCGGTATTTTATGATTTGACCCACATTTTTCATCAGAATTGTCTGAAAATCCACCTTCCTATATTAGATATTTTAAAGATTTTAAAAGAATTTTTATTGGATTTTATTTTTTTGAAAATTTTTCTAATTCGTTCCAAATGGTGGAGGGTATTCAAAGTTCGGCCCGGCCGAACTTACTGCTTTTTTACTTGTTATTTTTAGTTCTTGTTTAGCAGTTGAAACAGAAACGTGCTACTGTATGTTATGTTCCTAATAAAAATAATATTTATAATGTAAATGTATTATAGATGTAATATTTAAACTACATTTTTACGAAACCCGAAATAAATTGTTTGTTTTTGAAATAAATATGTGTTTTTTTTTCATTTTTAAGTGGTGTGACGATTTTTTCGATATTTCTTCCGAATTCTGAACGATTTCTTTCAGAAAATCGGAACTTTCTCCCGAATTCTGAGCGTTTTTTTTCAGAAAATCTGAATTTTATTCCGAATTTTCTTTCGAATTCTGACCGATTTCTTTTAGAAAATCTGAATATTCCGCCGAATTTCCAGACGAATTCTGCCCGATTTCTTTCAGAAATTCGGAGTTGTCCTCCGAATCTTTTCCGAAAATCTAATTTTTTCTCCTATTTTTTCAAGAATTTTCACCGAATTCGGACCGAATTCGTCCAGAAAATCTAATATTTTTTCAGATTTTTTTCAGAAAATCTTTCCGAATTCGGTGACCACGTCCATACAACTTTCGTACCGAAATCGGAAGGAATTCGGAATCAGAATCGGACATTTTTTCAGAGATTCTGACAGAAATCGGACCGAATTCGGCAAAAGTTGTTTACTGGGAAATAACCACTTAGTTGTGACTCTCTTTTTTCCTCTCCATGGATAACAGAGAAGGAGAGCAAAATAGAGCCTTTTTCCTATTCAACAACAGCAGTAGTTAAAATGATGCAGTGATGCTAATTTGGTGATTTTTAAAACCTTCAAGACATTTTATGAATATATATTCTAGGATTGCGTGAAATGTTAAGTCGAATCTCTGTAAAATCGCTTTAACTTTCTTTGTTTACTGGGACTAAAATGTAAAGTCTAGGACTAAAACGTAAAAATCATTTAAGTCTCACAAAGGGAAATCTCCTTTTGAAGGGAATCTCTTTCTGTGGCAATCTCTTTTCAAATGGATCGAACTAGATGTTTAATTTTGGTAAAACGCTTGTTATTTATGTCTGAAATTTTAATGGGTTTGGAGAAAGTCTATGTCGTTTCATTTTTTTCGTATAACCTCCAATAGAAAATAACCTACCTGATATTCCATATTTTGATGAATTCCAAAGGAATTGCCTGAATTTTGTATTTACAGTTCTTGGTGGACACTAACGAATCAGACAGCAAGTGACTTATATATTGGTCCCCGAAATTGTTTCCATACACAAGGGTATTGTACCCATGTAAGAGAACCTCCCGATATTTGGTATTTTGATGATTGTATCAAGGGTTTCCAATCGTATTGTTTGAAATTTTATATTTTCGTTCGTAGTAGGTCCCACCTCCCATGGAAAAATAAAGAAGGCAGTCATTTCAATTGTGGTTCTAATTTGGTACTAAAAATTTTTTTATACCCTCCACCAAAGAATAGAGGGTATATTACATTTGTCATTTCGTTTGTAACTCCTTGAAATATACATTTTAGACCCCACAAAGTATATATGTTCTTGATCAGCATAAAATTCTATGTCAGTTTTGAGATGTCCGTCCATCTGTGGTAATAGCTTCCCAACGAAATGAAATAGATGAAAAAAATTTTACTCAAATGTATATTACGTCTGCTGGACTTTTGGTATTGAAAATGGGTCATGTAGGTCCACGTTTTGGTATCGCCCCCATACAATTGTAACTCCCTATTTTCGGTATTTTGATAATTTTAGCGACGTTATTCACCGGGATTGTTTCAAATTTGTTATTTGAAGTTCGCAATGAATACTACAGCCTTAGAGAGAAAATTGTATGTGCAGGTCCACGTCGTCGTATAGCTCCCATACAACGGTACCTCCAAATATTCGGTATTTTGATGATTATAGCGACATTATTTACCGGAATTGTTTCAAATTTAGTACTTGAAGTTCGAAATGGATACTACAACCAATGACAGAAAATTGTCTGTTCAGGTCTACGTCTTCGTATAGCCAGATATTCGGTATTTTAATGATTTTAGCGATATTTTCACCGGAATTGTTTCAAATTTGGTATTTGGAGTTCGTAATGGATACTACAGCCTATGAGAGAAAATTGTCTGTTGCAGGTCCACGTTTTGGTACAGCCTATATAATAGTACCTCTCTATATTCGGTATTTTAATGATGTTATCTCCATTATTACCGATTTTTTTAAGTTTCGCATTTGAATATTGTCGTCGTATAGACCCTAATATAATGGCTAAATTCGGTATTTTTAAGATTATAACAGAATTTTTAACGGATTTTATTTATTTATGAAAGTTGCGAAATTCTTTTCAAATGGTTGATGGTATTAAATTAAATATTAATTTAATCTGTACCATTATATGCAGCCAACGCTTGGACTACCACAAGGACAGACGAAGATAAACAGACCCATTTCAAAATATGGCTGAATCTACGAATTCTGAAAATTCCATGTACTGCCCATATAAAAAATCAGGATGTTCTAAGAGGAATGAATCTTTATAAACCATCTTTTAAATTCTGAAATGGGGACTGAAAAAACTATGCTCTGCAAACCATTATAAAATTCAAAATGGGAGGAAATAAAAAAATTAAGATTTGACTGGGATACACACTTGCAGGCAAAAGCCAATTCTTCCCGCA